ATATTTTCGTTAGTTGAACCGTGAGAAAAAATGAAAGAGAGCCATACACACTTCGCTCTACATGTATCAGAATACCTCAGTAGATTCAGAAAATGGGAAACCATCGTAGGATCTCTCGGCGTCGCTACAAGTACATATTTAGCCGGCATCACTTACTCATCACTCATCACTTACTTTCACCGTTTTAATTAGATTCGCCCAAATCGCGAGTACATGATGCTTTAGTAGGTGTTGCAGAATCCGTTCAGAAGGTGGGCCAAAACCTTGCCTGTAACTGAGCAGTATGATGCCTCATATATGTGGTGTGTGTGTGTGTGTGTTCTGCAGGGATATCAATATGCCTGCGGCTTCCCACCCAAATTTTAGAAATCATATCTACCCTCAGTTAGGGTAGGAGGTTCCTCGCCTCATGTGTGGGTTTGGCAGAGGTATGTGATACCACATGCATCAAAACTAACTGTTGAAAGTCACTTGTACAGCTGCTCAAAATACTGTCAGCACAACATGAATTGAGCTGATCTGCCCATCCCACTGAGTGGATTGCAGTCATCTTCAAGGAGGGCTAGAGTTTAATGTCTCTGGCTTGATAGGACAGGGCTAAAGTTATTTACCAAGGAAATGGCCATCAACCTCCTCAACAAGGTTCATGCTGAAAACTGTCCTTGTCCCTTCTCATCAGTGTCTGAGCCCTACATACCACTCTACCACCCCCGGCCGACGCTGCCCCAAATAAAGGGGGCGGTAGGCTGTGGGGCACATCTACCTCTGAGGTTTCCTTGGGCTTTGCCCCACAGGAATCATTACTGGGTTGGCACCTGCCAGGCGCCATTCAAGGACGAGCAACTCTCGTTCCCATCCTGTGCCCCAACATTTGCCCTCCCAACCGAACCCCACACCCACCTCACAGCTGGTGGGAGTGGACAGAACCCCTACCCAAAGCATATCCATTTATTCTGAGACAATTGTCTTTGGAGTTACCTTTCCTGAAGGAGAAGGACTGGCAAAAGTTGTCGTCCACGCACCAGGACACGTCTGGTCCAACTGGCCTGTGGCTTTCTCCAAGAGGTGTGGACTCTTGGCCAAACCATCAGAATCTTATCCTGAAAAACTAGTTTACAGAAAGAACCCTGAGTGGGAAAGGGGAAGCTTATGGGCTATTGTAATCACTACAGTCCTTCCTTTTTGGCTTTGCCTACTAAAGAAAGTCAGTTTATCCACGCCTCGGCTTTCACAACACCTCGCGTTTTTGCACCGAAATCAAACCAAAGTTGTCGCCCACACGTTGCTAGAAAACACAGCCAATCGGTGTGGTGTGTATGCATATATATGTACATATAGATTATATTATATATATATATATATATATTATATATATATAGATATACATATACATATACATATGTATATACATATGTATGTATGTATATACATATATATATATATATTATTATATGTATATCATACATATGTATCCATATATGTGTATGTATATATATATATATATATATATATATATATATATCCATGTATATGTATATCTATATATGTATGTATATATACATATCCATATCTATATATACATATTATATTATGAATATATATATATACATATATATGTATATATATATATATATATATATATATATATATATATATATATATAGCCGCGATAGCTCAGTGGTTAGAGCACTGGACTCCGACCCTCGTGGTCCCGGGTTCAATTCCCCGTCGCGGCGGTTGTAAAAATGCCTGCGCTCTGACTGCTACCTCGAGCCCGAGAAAACGACATATCGGCTTGAGAAGTCAAACGCAGTGTTGTAGGGGAAGTCACCGCCGTGGCACAAGTGTTAACGCGCCGAACGGCGGTTGATTAGGAAGGGCATTCAATCAGGCAAAGGTGACACTGCCATATAACCTCTCAATACTGAATTGAGAGAGGCCTATGTCCTGCAGTGCAATGAATGGCTGTTGAAAAAAAAAAAAAAAAAAAAAAAAAAAAAAAATATATATATATATATATATATATATATATATATATATATATATATATATATATATATGTTTGCATTTATGTGTTTGTAGGTATGTTATATAGACATTGTAAGTATCATGTATCATTTTCACGATGATTATACGCCGTATCCCCCGAGCGTAAGTCTGCGTCATGAAGCTAGTGGCGCAACAAGGGCGCCGGCGCCGCCGCCGCTTATAAGGGCTGCTGGCGTGGCTGCGGACATCAGTTCAGTGAACCAAGCGACCTGATGGTAAGCATGTAGACGCCACACAGATACATATACAGATAGACAGATACACACACAGATGCACACACACACACACACACACACACACACACACACACAGGTGGAGGCGGAGGAGGATACGGTGGAGGAGGGGGTGGAGGAGGAAAGGGCGGAGGTGGAGGAGGTAGCAGGTACGGCGGAAAATGAAAGAACCACAAAGAATTGGCGAGCAAAGAATTGTCCGTTCCTCCTCCCTCCCCTCCACGGCTCGGCTGCGTCCCGGCTTCCCCGGCTTCCCCGGCGGCCCGGCGCCGTCCTGGCCGTTTCACGGCTTCCCGATCCTGACACCATTCCTGCACACACACACACACACACTTGTGTTTATACATATATATATATATTTATATATACATACATACATACATACATACACATATATATATATATATATATATATATATATATATATAATATATATATCGTGCACGTGTGTGTCTGTATGAATATGCAGTATAAACATACATGCACATTCCCATCTTCATTCTAGTGTAAGAGCATAAACTTTCAATAAATTATTTGTCTCGCCAAACACTGATATTTTTTACCTTTCAATTTTTTTGTTGTACGATAATCCTTTGGCATGATTATAAGCCGTTTATTCGTCGAGTCACGAGTGTATATACAGTATGTGGTACTCTCAGCGGTTATATTTCGCTAGTTGATACCTGAGTAAAAATGAAAGAGACCCACACACTTCGCTTTACATGTAGCAGAATACCTCAGTAGATTCAGAAAATGGGAAACCATCGTAGGATCTCTCGGCTTCCTCAAGTACCTATCTCGCCGGCATCACTTACTCATCACTCATCACTTACTTTCACCGTTTTAATTGGATTCGCCCAAATCGCCGAGATCTTGGACTTTGTGACATTCGATCAGCCCATATGGTCGTGGTGTTTTAATGTGTAATGGCTTTCTCAGCCCAAATGACCGAGTTTTTAAAATATGTAACACTCTGTCAAACAAATTAACCGTGATTTTGGAATCATCAGCATCAAGGGCTAACGCCGTCGGGGTCGCATAGTCGCATCCACCCTTCGCTTCCAGCCACGAAGGTCCCTCATAGCGAGTCTCCAGGCAAGCCCTCTGTCCAACTCTAAATCCTCGTGACAGGACTGGTCGAGTTGCCCAAGCCATGACCTCCTAGGTCCGGTATAGGTACTTAAACTTGCTATTAGGCTAATAATCCATGTCAGAATTCCACTAAGTCTCAGGATCTCCCATAGCGATTCTCACTGTACCGAGTCAAACGTCTTCTTGAGGTCAGTGTAGGTTGCATACAACCCACAACCAAACTCATAATGGCATTCCACAATTTCTCGAAGCACTAGGATACAGTCTATTGTGGATTTGCCACTAGTGAATCCAGACTGCTCCAGTCTCTGATGCTATAGTAGGTGGTTGCAGATCCGTTTCAGAAGAAGGTGGGCAAAAACCTTGCCTGGTAGTTTTTGCCTGATATATTGAGCAGTGTGATGCCATATATATGTGTGCTTGTGTGTGTGTGTTCTGCAGGGATATCACATATGCCTGCGGCTTTCCCACCCTACAGCTTAGAAATCATCATCCTCCCCTCAGTTAGGGTACGAGGTTCCTCGCTCATGTGTGGGTCTGGCAGAGGTATTGTGATACCACTTGCATCCAAACTAACTGTTGGAAAGTCCACTTGGTACAGCTGCTCAAAATACTTAGCATTTACAAACCCCAACATGAACTGAGACGATCTGTCCTGGTAGGCAGGGCGAAGGTTATTTACCAAAAAAATGACCATCAAACCTTCTCATCAAGGCTCCTGATGAACTGTTCCTTGTCCCTTCTCATCAGTGTCTGAGCCCTACATACCACCTCTACCACCCCCGCCGACGCTGCCCCAAATAAATGGGGCGGTAGGCTGTGGCGCACATCTGCCTCTGAGGTTTCCTTGGGCTTTGCCCCACAGGAATCATACTGGGTTGGCACCTGCCAGGGCGCAGGCAGGACGAGCAACTCTCGTTCCCATCCTGTGCCCCAACATTTGCCCTCCCAACAGAACCCACAGCCCACCTCACTTGCTGGGTGGGAGGGACAGAACCCCTACCCAAAGCATATCCATTTATTCGAGACATTGTCTGTGAGTTTCCTGAAGGAGGAGGACTGGCAAAGGTTGTCGTCCACGCACCAGACACGTCTGGTCCAACTGGCCTGTGCTTTCTCCAAGAGGCTGTGGACTCTTGGCAAACCATCCAGGAGGACCTCTGGTCGGGAATTTTATCCTGAAAACAGGTTTTCATTAGTTTACAGAAGCACACTGAGTGGGGGTAGGGGAAGCTTATAGGTGTTGTAATCACTACAGTTCTTCCTTTTTTGGCATTTGCCTACTAAAGAAAGTCAGTCTATCCACGCCTCGGCTTTCACAACACCTCGCATTTTGCACCGACAATCAAACCAAAGTTGTCGCCACACGTTGCTGAGAACCTGCCAGTGTGAGTGTGTGTGTGTTTGTAAATGAATATATATATGTGTATGTGTGTGTGTATTTGTATGCATATGTATGTATATATATGTATATATATATATATATATATATATATATATATATATATA